ACAGAGACAATTATGAATAATTAGGGTTTAGGGTTTCCTAGGGTTTAGGGTTTAGGGTTTCCTAGGGTTTAGGGTTTAGGGTTTAGGGTATCTGGGGTTTTTCTATGATGAATAGCCCATAAGTGTCTCCATATCCTTTCTATCTTATAACAGAGACAATTATGAATAATTAGGGTTTAGGGTTTCCTAGGGTTTAGGGTTTAGGGTTTAGGGTTTAGAGTATCTGGGGTTTTTCTATGATGAATAGCCCATAAGTGTCTCCATATCTTTTCTATCTTATAACAGAGACAATTATGAATAATTAGGGTTTAGGGTTTCCTAGGGTTTAGGGTTTAGGGTTTAGGGTTTAGAGTATCTGGGGTTTTTCTATGATGAATAGCCCATAAGTGTCTCCATATCTTTTCTATCTTATAACAGAGACAATTAGGGAGACAGATATGCCCACAGCCAGGGTAAGCACAAGGAAATGTCTCTGTCTCCTTATAACCATAAAATACACCAAAATAACCTGTTGTTATTATACCAGGACGGGTCTGCACAAATACACATACAATATATATAAACCCTAAACCCTAAACCCTAAACCCTAAACCCTAAACCCTAAACCCTAAACCCTAAACCCTAAATATCGTAAACCCTAAACCCTAAAAACACTTAAAAACCCTAAAAAACATAAAATACATAAAAAGAATAAAAACACTATACAGCTTGTAAACCCTAAACCCTAGACAGAAGTGTTAGCTGGAGGTATACAAATATAGGAGTGTCATGTATTTTTAGGGTTTAGTGTTTAGGGTTTAGGGTTTAGGGTTTCTTACAACAATAGATGGTGTGTTCTATACTAGTACAATGTATAATACAATAATGATTAATAAGTATATCTAGAACATTTTCCTAAATTTTCAATTTTAGGGTTTAGGGTTTAGGGTTTAGGGTTTAGGGTTTAGGGTTTAGGGTTTTGTACCACTATACATGGCGTTTCTGTGCTAGTTTGATCAAAGAATCCTTTACAATGTATAATACAATAATGATTACTAAGTATAGCTAATACTTCTGTC